AGTGGCACCTGGGGCTGCCTGAACAAGGCTGGGCCCTCTAACACTCCCTCACAGATAGGGAGGCCGTCATGAGGCCCCACTCCTCCCTCTGGAGCTATTGGCAGTTAAGGGTTTCCAGGGAAGGAGGTGATGTTTCCTTTAGCAGTGTAAACATTATGTTTGCCTATGCTCCAAGTCCTCGCTTCCTATGCTCACAGAAGCAACCTCCACTAAACTCAGTGGTCCCCGAATACTGCTCTCAAATGAATCACTAGGAATGTAAGTGTATTTATACACAGATGTATAAGTATATCTACCAGTTTATGTAAACAAATGTTGTTTCTTCAAATCCCCAATCTAATGATGCTATCGGCTCCATGACTTTAAACACTAGAGACTGAAGTCAGAGAAGAACTGTGGAGAGAAAGCAGCATAAACCCACGGCAGTGGTCTCATGAAACATGAAATGTAGGATGACACAGCCAGAGGAGAAAGTGTCCCGGGCCTGCGGAAACCAAAGCCACCCCAGAGTAAGTGCTTGGTACGTGCTTTTAAATGGAAGCCAGCAGAAGGTGCTGGGGGTGGGGGGGGAGATGCACATCTAAATAAGCTAGAGAACAATAGAGCTTGGTTGCAAAGAACAGCAGGACACCTCTGTCCCTGCTCCATGTCCTTATGTGTCATTTGTGTCACGGAGAATAGCATTAATACTGGGAAGATGATCACATTAGTCCATAGAGCATGTGCATGCATATATGTGCATGATAGAGAGACAGACAGGCAGGCAAAGACAGCAATTTAAAGGCTGGTTCACACAGTGGTGGGGCTGCAATTCCATGTGAACCTAGCAGCCTAGAGACCTTAAGGGAGCTGATAATGCAGAAGCAGGCCTTCCTCTGATGTCACAATAAGTGCTACAAGTCTCCAGTCCTGGGCGGCTTAGGAAAGCATGGCCATGAGGCTTTAAGGCCCCGAGACTTTCCTGGGAGGTTAGTCTTTCTATGAAGGCCTTCAGCTGGCTGTGTGAGGCCCGCTGATCTAAACGATAATCTCATCTTGTAAATACCTTCACAGCAATACCAAGAATAGCAGAGGGTGGGGGAGGCTGGAGGGATGGTTCAGCAATGAAGAGCACTTGCTGCTCTTCCGGAGAATCTGGGTTCAGGTCCCAGCACCCACATGGAAGCTTATGGATAGTCTGTAACTCCTGTTCCAGGGAATCCAATGTCCTCTTCCGGTTTCCATAGATTCCAGACACATACCCAGTGAGTGCCCTTACATACATAAAGAAAAAACACTTATACTCATAACATAAAGTAAATAATTAAGAAAAAAGAATTAATAAGGGAGTCAACAAGACGGTTCAGTTGGTAAGGGTGTTTGATTCCCAGAATCCACATGACAGAAGGAGAGAACTAACTCTCACAGACTGACCTTTGACCTCTACATTTATGCTATGGTATTCAAGCACCTACCCACCCATACCCACCCAAATAAACAACATAACTAGAGAGGGGCAGTGAGATGCCCAGCAGGAAAAGGCATTAGCACCCAAAAACCAAATAACAGAATTGGGGGGTGAAGACAGCTTAACTGGTACAGTGCCTGCCTGCCGTGCAAACATACCGACCTCAGTCTGAGCCCTCAACACCTACATAAAATCTAGCAGGGTATGTGGTGGCACTTGTCCAGAGCCCTAGCTCTAGGGGCAGAGAGACAGATGGATCCCTGGAGTTCATTGGCTAACTAGCTTAGCCAAACCCACAAGCTTCAGGCTCAGGAAGAGACCTTGTCTCAAAAAAATAAATAAGGTGGAGAAAGATCGACACCTATACTGACATCTGTCCTCTACATCCATGTGTACATACATACATGTGCATTTGCATGTACACATGCATACACACATGAATATGTGTCTACATCTGCCTGAACACACACACACACACACACACACACACACACACACACACACACACACACACATCAGAATAGCGTTGGCCCAAATACCTGGGAACTATGATCTAGCAGTCAGCATGTGCAATTAACCACTGCAAGGACTGTGGATGTCTGGGCCATGGTAGAGACAGGACAGGGTAACAGGGGGATGAAACAGATGTGACGTCTGTCTCGAGCAGCCCAGCAGCCAAGATCTGAACTCTCAGCTTCATATTCAAAAAGGTTCTAAAATTGGTTGCCAAAACTCATGTTTTAGAAGACCTTGGAAAAGGAGGTCTGTGTCCCAAAACCCAGCAAAAAGAGTCACAATTTATCTCATTATCTTATGGCAGACACTTAAGGCCAATGAGTGAAGAAATCAGGTGAAAGGCTATTAGACCTCAGTAAGACCCCGGTTCTTTATTTTATTTGGTACTGGAGATCAAGGACTCAAGCATGCTAGATGGGACCCTTTCACTGAACTACAGCCCTAGCCTATTTGTTTAGTTCTGTTATTTTGAGACCGAGTCTTATTAAGTTCTCCAAGCTGGCCCTGAATTTAATCCTTCTACTTCAGTCTCAACCCGGCTCTAGCCCCACAGTTCTGATCAGCACAACTGGTGTTCAGTCAAGCTTCAGACTGCTGTCCTCCATCCTGTCCCCTCTGCCCCCTGTTCAGTGACTTGGTAATGTAGATGGTACCTGTGAGATCTACTTATGACTGACCTCAGAGTGGGATATGAATTCTAAACTAGCAAATAGGAGACCGGATCCATCTGGTAAGATGAATGAGTTAGTATGATATGCAAGGCTTCGTGCAACAAACTAACAAACAAAACCCATAGGAGCTGGACTTTAGTAACATAAAGAGAAAGAGTAAAAAAGAAACTCAATTATTAACAGAAATGGTGCCTGCCCACCAGTTAAGCAAAGCCCCCAAGGCATGATGAAGGGGGGAAGCAATGGCCCGCCCCTCCGAGACTATTTCATTCTGCAGTTTTAGAATAATGGGGATCACTGAAACGACACAGGCAGTATGACCAGACAGCAGAGGACCTGTTAGAGGTGAAGCAGCCAAAAGCTTTGGTCCTGGGACTGTCCCGGTGAGAGAGGAGAGGAGGTAGGTGGATTGAACCTTCCCGTAGTAAGGGGCAGAAAGTGGATCAGAGGCTGGCACCGTGCACAGAGAGATTCAATGCAAACCCGAAATTTCCAGCCATCAGATGCAGCCTGTACTTCTGGATGCTAAAGGAGACCTCGCATCCCACAGGCCTAGAGGGGCTGCAGGAGACAGTCAGTGGTTTCTCTTTAGCCTATGTGTATCAGGGAAAGAAATGAAGGCTTTGCCTAATGCGACTCTGAGTTCACTGATGACCACGGAGCTGATGCTTTCTGTACATAGACCTTGTGTCTGACTCAGGTCTTCTCCAGCGAGGACCACCATATAGAGTAGAGGCAGCCAGCGCCCAGAGGATACCCAGACCCACATGACCCAACCAGCTGGCCAAGTTTGTTTCCACAGTGTTCAGCGATGCACTAGACAGCAAGGAAAGTGGTAGAAAGTTAAGACTTCACCTTTAACTACAGAGACACACAAAAATACCCACCCCCAGCATGAGAGAGCCATTGGGAGCTACGAGAAGAAACAACTGAACCCAAGCATGACCACTGAGACAGGGTCATAATGGGCACAGCAACAGAAAAAGAACGATCCCAGTAGGTGGTCTGATAGTATGAACACTGTAATAGGAAGTGTCTTAGGCTTTCTATTGCTGTGATAAAACACTGTGACCAAATGACTTCCAGGGAAATTGGGGAGGAACTCAGGGCAGGAACCTGGAGGCCATGGAGGAATAATAACTGGTCCAGCCTGCTTTCCAATAACCCCAAGACCACCTGTCCAGGGATGGCACTGACTCCTGTTGGATGGGCACTCTCGCATCAATCATTAATCCAGAGAAAGCCCACAGGCTTGTCTACAGGCCAATCTTCTGGAGATATTTTCTCAATTAAGATTCTCTCTTTTCTCAGATATATCCAGGTTTGTGTCAAGTTGACAAAAACCACCAGCAGCAGAGGTAAAAGAAAGAATATTCCAGATGGGAATCAGTGAACGAGGAGGTTATGGACTGACTGCTCTACACTTCTGGACTCTCACAGGTTTGCACACTAAAAGACTTGCTAAAGGACTAACTGTATAATTCAGAAAGCCCTGTGGCTTGGAGTCAACAGTTTGCAGCTTTCACGTTTGAGTTTCAAGCCCTTCCTTCGGAGTAGCTCCTCAGACCTACACAACTGTGTTTCAGAAATCACTCTTGATCCCTCCAACACTCCCAGACAGACAGACAGTACACAGTGCCCCCTTCTGGCTCACAGCCTTGCTAGCCCAGCAGGGCTGCTCCAACCTGGGTCCCTTCTGCATGTAGCTTTCACCTGCCTCTCAAGGCCTGGTCCTGCCTGGGCACAGCCAAATCCACAGCAGGGTCATTACACATAAAGCCCTGTAGAATCGTCCCTCCTCCTCCAAGTCTCCCACTGCTCAGGTCTTACCTTTCTAAAGGGATCAGTCGCTTCCACTGGAATGCCTTTCTTACTCATCTCATTTCTATCAGAGATCACCTTATAGAGATGAATTGTTTGCTGGTGGTGCTGGAATGGAATTCACAGCTTAGCCCAAGCTGGGCAAGCGCTCCACCAGGGGGCTACATCCTGGCAGGTGTGCTGAGGACTGAGTGTGATGTTTTCACTGTTTGAATGTCATTACTCCCTAGTCGCCACGTGGGAATGTTATAGCAGCGTATTTCAGAGATCAGGAGCACCCAGGGTGATATGGCCATAGGTGCCAGCAGCGAATGTCGAAGCAAATGGCTATTGGTGTTCTTGAAGATGATCACTGACTACCACATCTGCCCCAAAGCCTCTCACCCATCTGTCCTGCTTCTCTGCCTTGGTCTTAGAGGGCTGGAGAGATGGCTCGGTGATTAAGAGCATTGACTGCTCTTCCCGGCTTCAATTCCCAGCACCCACACGACAGCTCACAACTGTCTATAACTCCAGTTCCAGGGGATCTGGCACCCTCACGCAGACAAATGTATACACAAATAAAAATAAACTAAAAGAAAAGGGTTTAGCTTCACACACAGATGTATTTGTAGAATTGCACCCCAAAGCGATTATATATCAGTGTAATTGCACTGTAGGTGAGGCAGTGTATGGGAATATTCCTGGTGGGATTTCTGTAGGAGATGCGTTCACTTCAAATATGAGCTGCGGTCTAAAAACTACTGCTTCTAGAATCTAAAAACTACTGCCTCTAGAATGTTCTTTGTCTCTCATGTAAACACAAAGAAGCAAAACCCATGACTTCTGAACCACAGGGCGTGTTTGACTTATTTATCTACTCATTCTTCCTTGAACAACTTCCGTGCACGGCAGGGTGACATTCTAGAGCATGCAACTCGACAAGTAGGGAGTTTTGCTGGTTCCAAATATCCAACAGTCACTATTTGCAGAGTTGAGTTCAACTTGAATGTTCTTTATTCATTGCATGCTCACTAATGCTGTCTGGGACTATAGCTGCTAACCAGCAGTACCAAGAACACCATCACACCCATCCTAGCAAAAGGCCAGAGTGAGCCTCTGCTTCATCTACAGCTGCTGGAGCCGTGGCGAAGGTTTCTTAGTGTCTCCACATGTCCCACAAAAGAACAGCCTTGTCGAAGGGGTGGCTGGGGTAGCGCCTGGCAAACAGGTATCTCCGGTTGTTATTGGTGGCTGCTCAGACGGTAAGCACTTGGGGAGCCGAGGGGCGGTCCCCAAGAGGTACTTCACTGAATTTGCAACACTTCCACTTTGCAATGTTCTTAATGTTCACACGAGAGAAACTGTGCCAAGCCCAGCCCTCACACCTCTCCTTCCTCACATGCACAAACGGAGGCCCCGGTGGTGCCATCTGCTCTGAGTTCTTAAACTGTTGATGTGACATGAGTGGCCCGGACTCTCAAAAGTCATCCTGTCTCTGCTGTCACTTCGGCCGGGACTGTGGCTCTCATGCCTGAAAGCTCAAGGTTTGTTCTTTTTCTGTCACACCAAGGTCCCATGCTAAAAGCCACTTCCAAGAGGACTAAGGATCTCCACTGCGTCTTCAAGGTAACTCTGTTCACAGAGTTGTTATTCTAAACCTATCTGCTCACCAATCGCTTCCCTCCTCAAAAAACCCTCAGGCACCCCCAAGCATGCAACCTACAGGTGAGAGACTCCCACAGCAGGGTCTGGCGATGAAAGCTCTGTATAGATGGCTTTTCTCATCACCACAGCCTGAGGTAAGGTGTCCAGATGTACCAGTCACATTCCTCTGCATGCCTCTCCTCTGGAGGATTGATTCTTCTGCCATTTCATTTTTAATATTGGAATTGTGGTGTGTGTGTGTGTGTGTGCGTGTGTGTGTGTGCGCGCGCGTGCGCGTATGTGTATGTGGGCTCACTCACACACGTGTGGGGTGTGTGTGTGTGCACGCATATACAGGTGCAGGCCTGAGGATGACATGGGCGTTTTCCTTTATCAATCTCCACCTAGTTTTATTGAGACAAGGTCTCTCGCTGAACCTGAAACTAAATCATTCAGTTAGCTCAGCTCAGCAGAACCCTTTGCACTGGGGTCACAGACATTTCCCACTTTTACATGGCCACTGGGTATCCAAACTCAGGTCCTCATGCTTGGACACAGGCGCTTTACCGGGTGAGCCGTCTTCCCAGCCCTTTTCACGTTTTGAGTATTTCAATCCAAATGGCACCTAGTTTCCTGGCAACTTAACCCCTCTCGTCTTAACAGAAGTTGCGTGTCGTCCTAAATTACATTTTTTGCGACCCATTAAATTCCAAAGCAGACAGATCCATACGTGGAGAAGGGTTTTGTTTTATCCATATTCCAACATCAGCTGCAGTCTCTGCTTTGCTAGCTACTGTTGAAGTACATGTCTGGATACTTATGACCCATGATTAAAGGTCCTGAGATACCTTGCAGTTAAAAATATTTCTGTCTATTGGCTCATCTGGGCTTTCCGGTCCCACACTAATTCTAGGTCTTGTGAAGAATCACACCCACTAGCTATTGCACAGCTCACTAGCGCCCCCTGAGCTCCAATACCAGCCTCTGCAGGCCTCACTGCCCCAGAACAACTGACCAACAGGTGGCCCAAACATAACACAGCATCAAGGTGCCTGCAGGTGGATGTGTGGGTGTCCGGTCTCACAGGCTTTCATGTTAGTTGAGTCAAGCCCTGCAACTGTGGCCTTGGTAAAACAGAGCAGAGCACCTCTGGGGCCCATGGGGCCTTCTTTGTCACTGTAAAGCATGTTCTCTTTAAGTTGGTACTCATGTTCATGGAGGGACAGATTCTGAGTTCAATGATGCTCTCTCCGCTCCCACTGCCTAAGACAAAGGGTAGGGATATAGGGATGACCAAGGAGTAGCAGACACCTGTGATGTGAAAGAAGGATCCAGAACCCACTTCCTCATTCTCAAGGGAGTCATGAGATTGGCAGAAAAGTACAACAGTCCATCCCTGTGACACATGTCTTCCATGGGGACAAAGAGGTCCTCTACAGCCAACTTTCTAGAGACCTGGAGTCCTAGATGGGGAGACATTCAGAATACTGCCTGCTTCTGGACTAAGCTGTGGTTCCATGGTACACCTAGGCCTCCTGCTGGATGCTTTGAGTCATGGAACTGGAGGCCCTGACCTTGGGGGAGTAGGAGGCAGATCTCTACCACAAACTCTATCTCCGCCTATTCATTTATGTAAATTGCTTTTACACCACATGTCATAAATCAGTAGGAGCCGCTGTTACTTTAGGTACTGGTGAGGAGTCCAAGTCATAAAGCCCACTGGTTTCCTCTGTGCTGGCTCCGTCTTCAACAGGGGCTCCCTGGAGCAGATGCTGGAGGACCAGAAGCATCATATCGTGCAGGCTCATCAAGAAAGGGATTAGGACCGAAGTCCTGGCCTGGCTACATTAGGCATGAGCCCAGGTTTAAAAGAAAAAAAATAAGAATGTGCGAAGCTCCATGTTTAAAAAGTAAGTTTCAAACAGGGCTGGGAGATGTAGATGGCTCAGTGGGTGACGTGCTTGCTGCCCAGCGTGAGGACCTGGGTGGAATCTTGCACCTGTAATGCCAGTGCTGGGGGAAGTGGGGAGGAGGTGGCAGATCTGGGGAGCACGGGGGAGCCATTCTAGCTGAAATGGCAAGCTCCAGGCTGGGTCAGAGACCCTGCCACAAAAAAGAGGGAGAGCACTAAAGTTGACTTTTAAACTCGACACAACACACAGTTGAGTACTCAAACACACATGCATGGGTGCACACACATACGTACACGCATAGTTTCAAGAAAGTGCCAACAGAACGTTGAACAACTGCAGGCCTTCCTGTAAATACATGGAATAGATGTTCCAGAGTCCAACCTTGCCTACGTCTGTCATGGGCTCAGAGCTGGAGAGTACAGGTCTTAATGGCTCGTAGGTTCTCAAGGAGGCAACTCTGAAGCAGGGCATTCTGGAAAGACTTCTTCAAGTGGTGGCTCCCAGGCTGGCTCTCCATCGCTGCAACCCAGATTCCGGCCTCTGCCACACCTGACAGCTTCAAATCCTCCATCTTCTGCAGTGTGGGCCTCTCTTTAGTAGGTGTGTCCCTTCTCATGTGAGGCTATCTTTGCATTTCCCTAGTTACTAAGGGACTCAGAAAATAAGACCTGTTTCCTCCTGGCTTTTGCTTAACTATCTTCCAGGGCACAGGTACTTGAATCTGATTTTCTTAGCATCCAGTGTCTCCCAGGATCCTTCCTGGCCTGCATCCATCCCCGGGCATCTGTGTCTCCTGGGCTTTCCACCTGCTGAGCTGTTTTCTGCCCTGACTTTTCTTCAGATCCCAGAGTTGTGACTTCTTGGGCACCTCTGTCCTTGGGGCATCTTCTACCTGTTACTTCCTCTGCCTTTTTCTTCAGCAGTTACCTTACAGTAGTGAGACATGCCCATCTTGTAGACATACTGTCTTTGCACTGCTTTGGGTAACAACTTCCATATTAGAGTAAAAAAATTACTAAATACTTATGTAGGAAATGATTGTGTTTGAGAGACCTCGGGGGAAGCATTCTCTGCTCGGCCACACGAATACCCCCCTTACCTTCTGAAGAGGGCAGGAACCTATAGTCTCCTGAACTCCAGAGAAAGGGAACACAGAGCCAGCAACCCCAGCAACCTGCCTGCAGGTCACCCCAAGCCTGAGTCCTCTCTCCCCACTTCTTGGTTTTGAAGTCAAAGTTTCACTCCGTTGACAAAATATTCATTGCTGTAGGCTACTTCTGAGACTAAAATAACTTTCCACGAAATGCTCAGAAAGCTGCTCTTTGCCTGTAAATGCTGTAATATTATAAGAAACATCCGTGTTTGTGTGCGGTTATGTCTCGCGTAACTGCCTCAGCGGGGCCTGTGAGGCCATCATGGCTCATTTCTGTCATTTCTAAAACCCGACACTCTTTCACTATACTGTGGCACCTTCTCGGTTCTTTAAACTATTTTTCTCTTCAAGTTCTCATGAATTGATGGTTCCTGTTTTTCTGAATGTGCTGTTGGAGCCTGTGCCTCTGAGGCTTCGCCACCACTCCTGTTGAACAGTTAGGTAACAAGCCAAAAGTCCCCAGTCGCTGTGACGCCTCTGTCCATTGGGAGACTGACTGGTCCTCGCCCTGGGGAAACCATATCCAGGAGTGCACTCACTGGCTCCCTGATGCGCATGAACTTTGGAGAAAGAGAAAGGAAAGTGGCAGAGTGGGTGAAAGTTCGGATGGGGCTGGCGAGACTCGGTGTGAGATGAGCTGCAGGGAGCGAGCCAGACCAGGGTTCGGAGCCCCCAATGGACCCAGAGAGGGGCACATTCTACGGACTAATAGAAAGTGTCTCATTCTGTGTAAGGATGGGACACATCTTTCCTTTTTCAATCCCCACCCTTTCCTTAGCAAATGTAAGTTCAAATACTGCTTTTGAACCTCAGATTGTCAAGCCACTTTTAACAAATAATTTTTATTTTTTGAGATGATAATATAGTTACATTTTTGTTCCTTTCCTTCCTTCAAGTCCTCCCATGTACCCACCCCTTGCTGTCTATCAAACTCACAGCCTCTTTTTCTTTAATTGTTGTTACTTTTAAGAAAAACTGAGATACAGCGAGACTATTTGATTCACTTAAACATTCAAAAAAGACTTCTTGCTAAAAAGCTGACAGCACATCCATGATCAGGAGACACTCTTTGAGGAGCTGATTCCCACTGAGGTGGGTCTGGGAGTCCTCCGACCTGTGAGCTACGCGCTGCTCATATACTAGGGTTGTGGCTGTATAGTTCCGCACAACAGATATCCATCTCCAGGCTAGAGTCCCAAAGCAAAGGCTCAGCAGTGCTGTGTGTTCCCCAAGAGAAGGATTCGCTCCTGGCATTTCCCTAATCTTCTCTTGATCCCTTGGCTGTGTCTCGGTGCCTCCAACCTCCCAGGCCAGGGCCTGTGTCTGTCTGTCTGTCTGTCTGTCTGGTTACTGTTGCTTGTTTTCTTTTCGTATGGGTGTTTTACCTGCAAATATGTGTGTGCACCACATTAGGGCCTGGTGCCCAGTGAGGTCATAAGAGGGCGCTGGATCTCCTGGAGCTGGAGTTGCAGTTGGCTGTGGGCTATGTGGGTGCTGGGAATAGAACCAGTGTCTTCTGGAAAAGCAGCCAGTGCTCTTAACTGCTGAGCCATATCTCTTCAGCCCCAGGTTCCTTTATCTAATGCCATCAGTTACATTGGATTAGAGGCTCACCTCATTCTACAAGACCTTGTCCTAAGTAGTTACATCTGTGATGACACTGTCATGGAATAAGGACATGTTCTGAGCTGCAGGAAGCATATGTATTTTCAGAAACACAGTCAATGCCAGACACACACTGAGGCCCTCACTGGTGACTCACAGCCTGGGACTCCTACTCCCTTCTCTCCCTCCCGCCAGCCCACTTCCCTGAAAACAACTGTCTGACAACTGTCTTCTGAGTAGGCAGTCATTTGCTTCCTGTTCTGTCAGGGTCCATGTCCCTGCTCTGGAGGAGTCAGAGCAAAGTAGCTCAGTGCAGAGCTTTGATCCTCAGCCTGCTCTTGCTGAATAAAGCCTGTGCCTCCTTGGCAGAGCCTCCCATCAGCCTGGTCTCTGGAAGGAACCAGACAAGCTAGACATGGACACCTCCCTATACCCCCATGTCACCTACAGGTGCTCTGAGGGAACCTCCAGGAAGTCCCACAGTCCCTGTCTGCACTCCAGTGGGGTGCTCAGTGCTCCAGGGGGAGCCTCAGGGCAGACACCAGCAGTCAGACAGTGAGCACTGAGCTGCTGAGATGGATTCTATAGTCTTTGTAAATAGCACTTATGCCAAGGGGACTCTAGAGGTCTAGGTCCCTCATGGAGCACATGGTGCTCCATAACAGATTGTCACCCTCAGGACTGGAGCACTGGTCCCCAGTAGCACATCTGCCTGATGCTGACTCTAAAGGAGACGGCTCACCCACCACTTGGCCCCCTGGGACTGAACTGGGGACTGGAGACCAGCCATAGAGCTTGTTGTCCATAACCCTCACCTCCTCTGGAGGAGGCTGTTCTAGGCCACACCTCACAGCTGTCCTTCCTGCCTCACCTGGAAAAGTGCCTTCAGGGCTACCATACTGACCTCCAATTGACCTTCCCAGCAGCTTTTGAGCCAAGCAAGAGGTCTTTTTGAATCTGCAAATGAGGTGAATGAAGGACTAGAACTTCTAGCTTTAATTCATTACTACTTTTCCTGCAGGGAGATGAGTTGTCGATCCAGCCTCAGCAGGCAGCACAAGCTAGGGGAGATGGTTAAGTGTTGAAAAGCACTTGCTGCTCTTGCAAAGGCTTCTGTTTCCCAGAGGACACCGCGAGATCCACAACCACATATAGCTTCAGTTCTAGGGGTTCTGAAGCCCTCTTTTGGCTTCTGAAGGCACATGTACAAATGTGGTGTGTGGGCACGCATGTGCGTATGCACGAAAGCACACGCTCACACACACACACGCTCACACACACACACACTCAGTCCCACATACATATACTAAAAAATAGAATAAAGGAGAAGATTGCTTCAGCTGGAAAGGCAACACACCTGACACACGAACTCTGAGGATAAAACTACACACAGGTGACAAAGGTCGTGTCCCCGCTGTGTTGGTTGCTTTCCCCTGGCTGTGACAAAAACAACATCACGGAGGCTTTCACAGATCCAGGGTGCAGTCAGTCATGGCAGGAGAGGCGCATCAACAGGAGCTTTAGGTACCTGTATGCATTGCATCCCCAACCAGGAAGGACAGGAAGGGGAGAGAGAGAAGGGAGGGAGGGAGGGACGGAGAGAGAGAGAGAGGGAGGGAGGGAGGGAGGGAGAGAGAGAGAGAGGGAAGGAGGGAGGGAGAGAGAGAAGGGAGGGAGGGAGAGAGGGAGGGAGAGAGAGAGAGGGAGGGAGGGAGGGAGGGAGGGAGGGAGGGAGGGAGAGAGAGACAGAGAGAGAGGGAGAGAGAGAGAAGGGAGGGAGGGAGAGACAGACAGAGAGAGAGAGAAGGGAGGGAGGGGAGAGAGAGGGAGAGAGAGAGAGGGAGAGAGAGGGAGAGAGAGGGAGAGAAGGAAATGAACATTCATCTGGCTTTGTTTTCTACAGCCTGAGATCCCAGCCAGTGGAAGGTGCTGTCAACATTCAGGGAGGGTCTACCCACCTCAGTAAACCCAACCTTAGCACTCTGTCAGAGATGCACTCTAAAGCTTGCCTTCTACATGTTCCAGATCCTGTCAAACTGGAGATGTTAGTCACTACAGTAACTGACTACCCAGTACTTGACGAGAGAGGGTTGAAAGAAAGACGACAGGGAGGACGGGTAATGAAGCGAGGATGCTGGCTGAACACCCGAGTCGTTCCCACCTGCCCCAGCCGTCCAGACAACCATGGCCACACATTCTATTGCACAGTGTCCCCAACATTGACCCTGTATTCCCAAGGCACCTGCAAATGCCGCATATTGGGAAACTCGTGGGCGAACTTGTGTGCTCTGTCCCCAACCCCCCCTGACACAAATGGTCATTTGATGAAGAGGTGAAGGGGATGGCTCTCAACTTCATGTTTTATATAGAACACATGAGCTGTGGTGGCTGGTGTGGTGGTCACCTTGACACACCTGACAAGAAGGAAGCTCAGTTAAGAAATTGCCTGTATCAGATTGGCTTGTGGGTATGTGTGTGGTGAATCTTATCACTTGTTAATTAACATAGAACTGGGCACCCTCGGGATTGTACCATTCCCTAGGCAGGTGGGCCTGGGCCACTTTAGAAAAGCAGCCAAGACCCCTCATGGTCACAGTAGGCAGAGGCCGGTAGACCTCTGAGAGTCAGATTAGTTTACATGTCTCTAGGCCAGCCAGAGCTACATAGTGAAAGCCAGTCTGGGGGTGGGGGTGGGGAATCAAGCCGTTGAGCAGGGCTTCTCCATGGTCTCTGCTTCAGGCACGAGACCAGGCTCCCTAAGTTGCTGTTAGTCATGGTGTTTATCACAGCAACGAAACAGCAAATGCACATGAGCCAAGGCAAGACTCCAACATGAGCCACGGCTAGCCTAAACCAGGGATGATAGAAGTTTTAAAAAAAAGGTCACCACCTCAGATACACAGTAAGAAGGCTTTGCATGTCCCCACAGGATGTAGACAGGCTGTGAGAACCCTGCGGGCCCAGCAGATGGGGTTGGTCACCAATAACCTCAGCCTTGCATCGAGGACAAGGGCAGCTGTGCTGAAGTTTGGACAGCTGAATCTTCACAAGGGAGGGCTGCATGGGGCCTCCGGGACTGACACCACCCAGGGGTGGGGCCTCCGGGACTGGCACCACCCAGGGGTGGGGCCTCGGGGACTGACTCCACCCAGGGGTGGGGCCTCGGGGACTGACAGCACCCAGGGGTGGGGCCTCAGAGACTGACAGCACCCAGGGGTGGGGCCTCGGGGACTGACTCCACCCAGGGGTGGGGCCTCAGAGACTGACAGCACCCAGGGGTGGGGCCTCGGGGACTGGCAGCACCCAGGGGTGGGGCCTCGGGGACAGGCACCACGCAGGGGTGGGGCCTCCGGGACTGACAGCACCCAGGGGTGGGGCCTCGGGGACTGACAGCACCCAGGGGTGGGGCCTCGGGGACTGACTCCACCCAGGGGTGGGGCCTCAGAGACTGACAGCACCCAGGGGTGGGGCCTCAGAGACTGACAGCACCCAGGGGTGGGGCCTCGGGGACTGACAGCACCCAGGGGTGGGGCCTCGGGCACTGACACTCGGGAAGGAGCCTTTTCCTGAGCCAAGAGAGGAAAAAGGAGCGAGTCCTCAGGCAGGGTGAGAACAGTCCCCACAGTTGGAAGGACCGAGGCGGAAAGGAGCCCGGGCTCAGGGTGTAACTCAGCAGAGTGAGTGCCCTGCATATGATGCTGTTGGCGTGGTCACTGCACGAGAGGGCAGACACCGGGTCAAAGTGTGAAAGCGGCAAAAAGCAGCCTGCGGATCATTTCCAGAAACACGTCCCAGGGGGAACCAGGCCATGACGCAGTGGCTGCTGGGGAATGGGAAAGGAGCCCAGGCTTGGGGCAGCCCTGCCTACAAGGCTCGGAAAGAGAAGCAGCTGTAGCAGCCCCGCCCCCACAAAGGAAACTGCAAATCCAAGGACTGAGTGCTGGTGAGGCCCGGCCAGGTAGGTGCTGACACCCTAGTCACAAAGGCCACCCAGCTAATCAGGAAGAAGCAGGAACTGGAAGTGGAACCTGAACAAACATCCTCCAGGGTCTCCCACTCAAGCTGCCACAGCCATGCTGGGAAAAAGAAACCAATTCACCAAGCCAAGGTGATCCGCTCAGACCCCAGCTCTTGCACTCCAGCCACACAGAGAGGGAGGGCCCTGTGCAGGCCGGCTGCTCCCGCTGTCACCCACCACCACGTCCATCCTGGCCAGCCCCTGTGATGCTCAGCGAAGACCTTAGCAGAGGGTGAGCCACCAGGGCCAGCTCTCTCCTTCCCCAGGCTCCCACTGCTCCACAGGTCACACAAAGGCAGTGGGGTCAGACTTCTCTGACACAAAGCCATACAGAATGGCATTGCCGCAACAGTGATCTGTGTTCAGGGGGAAGTGACAAAAAGACACCAAGCCCCACAGTATCAGCTGGGCAACTGAATGTCTACTGTGTGTGGAACATCCCTAGGGATCCTTCACATCTGATTCCTTTCCTATCTGCAGAATGATCTGCAGTATGGATCCCTGTGTTCCCATTTTACAGATCAGTAAACTGAGGTTTAAGCACTAACTCCCCAATTGTACAGCAAATAGCTATAGGAGAGTTTTCAATTCTGTGATTTATGGCTTCCTAGGGGATGGACAGTTCAAATGGAACAATAACTGGAGAGAGGCAAACATCTCAGACCTTAGAGAAGCAGTGGTGTGGCGTTAACAACCTGGCACCTCCTCAGGGCCTGGCCAGCCCCTGCCCGTGCCTCTTTGGCGCTACTTTTCACTGCTTGTGTCTCCAAAGACAGCTGACAGTGACAGCATCAGAGCACGGAACTTCTTCATAACCCATCTAGTCAGACGGCAGACGGCTTCCCACAGTCCTCACAGGAAGCACTCCAGGCCCCCAGAGCATGCCTGAAGCCGCAGGGCACATCGCAGGGCATATCTCTGATAAGGCTGAACTTACAACTTTGACACAATAAGAGATAAATGATTACTAGTGAAATCTCACAATTATAACAACAAGCTCCATGATAAAGGCATGACCAGCCGTGAGCACTGGGGCAGCACCAGGTAAAATGAAGGTTATTTGGACACAAGCACTGTGCTGCTAATCTGACGACAGATGCCAACTAAAGGACTAAGAGGCGGGGAGTGTAAGCAGTGTGGATGGTCTGGACAGAGGGACAGAGGGACAGAGGGACGGGGCAGGATGAAGCAGGTCTATGAGAAATTTCATCACACTCTTCCCATCCACTTGCAGTTTAGAGCTTTGGAATTATTTATGAACTTTAATATTTGGTGGGCCATGTTCGACTGTGGGTAATTAAAACCAAGGAAAATGAAAGTGAAGTCAGGAACATCGTGGGAAACTGTGTATGCAAACCCAGTAGCTTCCAGCCACACATGGCTATAAATATTTAAATTTCAATTAAGTGTCCAGTTCAGCTCCTGGTCACACTGGCCATATGTCAACACTTGTGGCCGCCACATCAGGCAGGGCAGACAGGATGTTGCCATTGCTTCAGGTTTTGTTGGATAGAGCTGCCTCAAAGGCTTTGAGAAGCCACAGGAATATTCTGTTTCCTTCACCAGACACCCAGGAGCTGTCTCCTTGTTGCTAGGCAGAGACAGGAGCCTCCACATGGTCGGCAGCCGATGGATAAGGCTTGCAAAAGTTGTCCCACCAGACTCTGCCCGAGGATGGTCGCAAAGGCAGGAGAGCTCACCATGCCTGAGGGTGGATGAATCTCCAGCGTCAGAGCTGTCAGGGTGTCCCTAGCTCAGGTGGGACCAGCCCTGAGTGGCTCCGCTAGCCCCTGATTCCACAGTGGGTGGCAGCCATTTCAAATGATGGGCACTCCTGTGGCCTGATCTCTGTCATCATATTGCCCAAAACTATCTAGCCACACATGGAACACAGGGTCCAGCAACGAGGGAATCTATTCCCTATAGTCAGGTAGGGGTGGGGAGCAGGGTGCACTTGAATGGATGAAGCAAGTAGAGACATATTCTACAGGGAAAATGGAGAGTGAAGAAACAGACAGGGCTGGGCAGGCCACTGAGCTGTTGATGAAGTGCTTGTCCGGCAAGCCGGAGGACCCAGCTCAGTCCTCAGAATCCACACTTTAAAAGCCACGTGTGATGGTGCATACTTGGGGTCGTGTCACTAGAGAGGTAAAGACAGGAGATTAGCTGGGGCTCACTGCCAACCGGACCAGCAGTGAGACCTGATCTAAAAGAAGGAGGAGGAGGAGGAGGAGGAGGAGGAGGAGGAGGAGGAGGAGGAGGAGGAAGAAAAAAAGTAAGCACCTCCTAGTTTGTCCCCTGGCTTCCACACACAAGGATGGGCATGGTGACCAGCACATACATGAACACACACACACACACACACACACACACACACACACGCACACACACACACACACACACACGCGCACACACACACACACACACACACATGCAAATGGACAGATGAGCCCTCTCTGAAAGTCCACGGATAACATGAGGGTATGTGGAGGCCCATCCACAGATCCAAGCAGCCATGGCTGTTTGCCAAAGCGTTAGTGAGTTCTACTCAGGGTCCACTGTGGCTGCTGCTATGGCTACTCATTATCCACGGCTCACAAGCTGCCCCTTGAGAGACCCTTCCCCAAGGCAAAGTTCTTCCAAGGACTTCCACCAGACCTAAGGGGTACTACGCTTTGAACCCATAGTAGAGTCCCCTAAAAATGTTCATTATAGAGAAAACATGAATATATTCTCAATGGACATAATCACAAATCCAGTATGAATGAAATTTATTATTGTACCAAGACAGCCATATACTTTTATTTCAGGGTCAAGAAGGCTGCTAGAGCCCCAGCCATCTCCTCTGCATCCAAGATAGGAAGAAGGAAGGTAGAAGGAGCCAAAAGGTTAAACCAAAGTACCTAGAACACATGGGAATCCCGAGAAGAAAAGTGTGAGAGTAAAGGTCAAAGGTTAGAGATGCCAGACTCCTTTAAAGAGTTTTCCCAGCATCTCTGGTGAATCCACTAGTCTTCATCTTTCTAAAAGCAAAGGGTCTGGGAAGCAGTCTTTACTGGAAATGCTGTTAAATGCTGTTGTTCCAGCAACACAGAAGCTGTTGTTGACAACACAGGAAGAAGAGGAAGGATGTAAGACAGGATACTTAACAACAGGTGTGTGGGGTTGTGGAGATGGCTCAGTGGTTAATCGTGAATACTGATCTTGCAGGGGCCAAGGGTTTGGTTCCGGCACCCATACTGGGCAGCTCACAGCCCACCTCTAATTCGAGCTCAGGGCACCTCACGCCTTCTTCTGGCCTCCACAGGCACTGCACCCTATGCATGATTTAAGAAAAAAAATGAAGTCAACTGCATTCATGTTATAGCTTCCCTGCCCTATGAATGAGCACAGAGACAAGTCGTTCACTCCACTGTGGCCAGGATCTTTGTA